CAGCAGAAAAGCCGATCTCACAGAGGTAGGATGTGGCGAAGGGAAGCACACTGAGCTACACGTGAGTCCCCAAGAATCTTGGCTGTCGCGCATGCGTAAACGTAACCTGTGAACGGCATAACATAAACATTTACACAAAAGTACAGGCATTTTGCCATGTATTTATTACTGACTTAGTGTTATGTCCGTGTACTTTGTACTTTTGTAATATGTGAAGTTCTCAATAAAGTTCTTGAAATAAAATAATTCTGTATTTCCCCCTGCGCCCCACCTGTAATATCACCGCGCCCCACAAGAGGGGCCACAGTTTGAGAAATACTGGACTAACCTGTCCTGCAGGTTCTTCTTCATGCCTTCTGCTTCGTCCAGCTTGCTCTGGGCATGCTGCAGCTCCTTGAACAGCGTCATCGTCTGAGACTTCAGATTCTCCACCTCGGACGCCGCCTGAAAAACGTTGGCACAATGACACATGAATATTACGGTATGAAAAACTAAACATCACAAAACTCAGTGGACCATGTGATCAAGCTGTCGACAGAATACACACGTCACAGGGACACCACCTAACTGAATTACATCGTTCGTTCACTACAATAAAATGACTTTCACTGTTGAGTAAATACCTTTTCCTCTTTCCCCGAATCCTCCTTGGCCTCTGCCTGGGGAGTCTGTGTTGATTTCTCCACATCCGCCTTCCTCTCCTTCAGCTGTCTAATCCTGTTGGACAGTGCGTTTTCACAAACAGTTCACAAAATATGTCTAACACACGTAAAGAGGCGTGTGTTTTTTAAAAACAAAGAATTTCATGAAAACATTGCACTTAAAAACAAATAAAACTAACACAGAAATACGTCACTCCCTCCCAATTCGGTCCAGTTTACAGGAAATAGAAGTGCAAGGAACCACTAACATTCTGACTTCCTGTGTTTCCTGATGCTATAAACGATGAGAGTGGATCATCTAGTGGTGAACTGGGCCCCCTACCTGGCGGCAGAGGACTGAAGCTCGCCCTGCAGCCGCTCGGCCCGCTGTGTCTCGTTCCTCAGTGACTGGAGGAGCTGGCTGACGGTCATCTCCTCGCTTTCCAGCCGGGACGCCGTCATGCTCAGGTCCGGACGTCGGCTGCGCTCCGAACCACACACTCCGTTCACGCTGTCTATGACTTCATCCTGAGAGAAAATACACACCCGGTTATATCGCAGAGCGGGAGGTGGAGGATTTTTTGTTTGTTAGATGAGGCCTTTCCATGCGGAATAGAAGACACACTGATTATATAGGAGGTGTCTGTGACTCCTCACCGAGACCCTGATGATCTCAATGAAGGAGTCGTCGTGTGAGTCCTGGTCCACCTTCAGCTGCAGCTCGGAGTTCATGGCCACCAGGTCGTTCTTCTCTGCCTGCAGGCGAGCGACGTGGGCACGCAGGGTATCCACCTCTGCACTCTGATTGGACGACACCGCCTGGAGACCACATCACACGGAGATTACAATTTGACAGGAGCTTAAATCTCGTGCAACTTAATGTAAAATGAGCCGGACAAAGTCTCCTTGGAGAATTATACAATTATATAATGAAGATCATAAAAAAAAAATAAAAAATGTAATCATAGGAACATTAGCTCTCAGCTGCCTAGATCCAATAAATATAAAATGGGTTACATTCTCACCAGCAAGCTTCCCAGAGCTCCCCCTGTCCTCCCGTCCCCCTCCACCCTCTTGCCCAGCTCCTGGTTTTGGAGGGTCAGCGACTCCATGTGGCCCCGAGCCTCCTCCAGCCTGCTCTCCAGGAAGTCCCGCTCCTCCCGCTGCTTCACCCGCCACACGGACAGACCCTCGAAACGCTCCTTCATCGACAGGTTGGTCTGACGCAGGGCCTCTGAGGTGGCGACAGACACAAACCGAAAATAATTTGAATAAATGAAAATCGCACGAGCCAAGTCATTTCAGTTACGACCCATTCCTCAGCCATTAGACCTTTCCTGTCCCAACAAACTGCTCCGGCTGGTCTATCACGCTAAAACTCTGAAACTCCACCCTGACCTTTGACCCTGGGCACTTTGAGACCTGATAAGAAGAGGAAAAACAAACAAAAAGCTTGAATGAGAAACATCTTCCTCCCCCCACCTGCTCTCACCTTTCAGGTCTCGGTTCTCCTGGATGAGGATGTTCATCTGCTGCAGGGTTTCTTCCACCGCACCCGACTGTACGGGAGAGCAAGAGATGTCGCCATTCAACACGGGGCCTCCAGACGCCATGACGCTGAGAGGGAGAAAAACAGGAGAAGAGACAGAGACTTTGAATATTGATCAAATATCGCTAAAGATGTGGCTGATTTTCTCTTTGGAATATTGAATTTATTATTGAGCTGTGAGGAGACTGGGAGTCACTCTGCAAACGCTGAGATACAATGTTAGTTGGATTCAGAGGTAGTTATCATGTAGTCTGGGCATTATCAGATCCACAGGAGGAACTGGACTGACTCCATCTGGTTTTCATTTGATATCATTTTGAGGCAGAATTAAAAACAGTATAAAAATGATGGATTATTGTGGATTATTATTGAACAGCCTGTCTTATTAACTGAAGCGCTTACACGCCAACAGGGCACATACAAAAGCCCCATGCTGACATCATCGAATGACTCAGTGCTTCAGCATTCAGCAGCAGAAAAAGCAGCACACAGCCGGAATTCTCTCATCAGCATGTCACATGATAGTTTAATCACATTATAATAACAAGAGCTGAATGCGATACACACTGTGATCTGCTTCTGAGCTCAAACAATGACTTGCTGACCGCCCGTCACAAATAAATAACAATATAGAGATATCACAGCTGAACTGTAACCCCCTTAAAGAATACTACAGTGGTTGCCAGTGGGATACAAGACACTTTAAAACCACCGCTGAATACTACGGACACACGGTCGCACTGTGAAAATTGGTAGATATGTTATTGTTAGCATTCGGTCGTACAGCTTTCTTCGACGTGGGCCCTATCCGGTGTGGGACTCTTTGGTAAACACTGAAAAGTTACCAGCAACTTGCGCAACTCGGATGCGGTTTGAGCTGAGCCAATCTGCGTCACGATAAAAACGTTTAAAAACGCGCAGAAATGTTTCCACTCACCTGCTGTCAACTCGGAAACTAAACGCAGTCCGGCTAGTCACTCCAGAAATACAGAGAAACACTCGGAGAGATGGCGAAATGTGTCGAGCAACCTTGTGCTGCTTCTGGATTTGCAACGCCAAGTGACGTACGGAAACAAAGCGCTTTCCGGTGATTGTTTTCAAAATAAAACCGCACTTCGACAATATCTGGGTTTTTTTAGTCTGAAAATGGTACAAGAATTCAGCACAACTTACTAAGTAATTTGTATTATGTTTTAAAACACACCTTCTTTAGAAAAAATATTTCTTTTAGAGATACTGTTCGAAGTTCTGTTTTTTATTGACCATTAATGCAATTTTATGGGCTATAAGTCAGATAATACAAAGGAATAGGGAAAATAGCAACAACGAGATAAAAGGGGTGATCATTTGTTTACTCATTCCCATTATTTTAATAATACATTGATATTGCTAATCTATGCTCGAACTTTAAGGCCAACTTTGACACTTTTCGTCACGTTTACGCTCTTATTTTGAAAGCTCATTTGCCTTCTTTTCCTGCCAACATTAAACGTATAGCTGCAGTTCCGACCTCCTCGAAGTGACGTCGCAGAGCGGTGACTAGCTCTCGATATGAACGAGAGCTGTGTCTATGAACAGAGCCGATGTGAGTGCTCCGACCCGCCCATCCGCATGTTTTACACATCAGGGAAAGACTGAGGGCGGAGACAGCCCTCACCTGACAGCGGGAATTCCCTTAAGGAGTCACATTGCACTTTGAAAACAAGAAACGAAAGACTGGATTGCTGCTATGACATGTCATGTTTAGGGGACAACTCTTGCAAAGAAATATATATAATTAATCCTGATGTAATACCTGACGATAGTGTTTGAAGATCACATGAAGATCCCTATCTACATTCATGAGTTACAATAAACATCCCTTTTTTGCGCTTTGGTCCAAACTTGTGTACAGAGTGGCCCATTAGGTCAAATATAAAATATCACAGCATTTATTCAAATTATTTAGATGTTCTATTATATAAAAATGAGTATATAAACATGCTGTTCGTGGCAGTGTCCATTAGATGGCAGTGCTTTCTAAGTAGAGATACATAGCTTAAAAAAAAAAAATGCACACCACTGAAATCTTTGGCTGTGGTGGAAAAGTATCATCCTAAATACGGTCCTAATTATTTTGTGTGATGATATGCATTTTGAGGCCAAATTGTCACACAGGATCAGCTGATGGATCCACACAGAACCTCCTCTGATGCATCATGATTGCTGTAGAGATTTAGTAGCCTATTGAGAAATGTACAGGGGATAATGAATGGCATTACCCCAATCCTTGTCTGTTCCACTGCAGACTACTGTTATTAATCACTGATGTCATTGTTGTCCACTTGGAACCACTTCAAGGAGGACCTTCTCCTCGGCATGCTCTCCAACAGTAAACCACTTTGACTGGTCGTTTTTTTCCCCATCTCTGATCCTCTTGGTTGCTTTCAAGCTATCGGAAAAATGGAAACTATAAGAATTGCACCCAAAAGATGATGACCTTGAATCTGGTGAAAAAGCTGGTGATAAAAAGGTAATGGTTTGCCAGTATAGCCCCTATTACTATTTATTTACATTTGACAAATAAAATGAATAAGGAGTTATGGATGTGCATTTTGCTTTACAATGTTTTGCAACATTTGGAAGACGTTTGGAAACCATATTGTTTTTTTCCGAGTAGATAGCGCTCGAGCCCACCAAATCAGTTCGCACGGAAGCATCAAATGTCGGAGCGTCTATATCAGTCCGTGAACGCAGCACCCGTGCGCTCTGGTGAAGCCTATTGTGGCTCCCGCTGCGGATGGAGGAGGTGGAAGCACTGGGAACGCAGCAGCAGCTTTAAGTTTCTGCAAATTGGTTTGACTGTTGAGTTCTCTCAAAGAGTCTGGAGGTGAGAAGATCTGAGTTTGTGCACGTTTAGTTTAATGGACAAAAGGACTGTGGTCGAACATTGTGCAAAAAGTTACGTGCATGCTTTTAGAGTTTTTGGTGAAGTACAGTATCCTCAAGCCTCCAGGTCACCAACCAGATGTGCAACTTTTAGCAACTTGCATGCTTGAGGAGACCGACTTCTCTCATAAAACAATTGTAATAAATTAGTAAAATCACATTTTTCTTTCCTTCGGGATGTCTTCCACGGCTCTCCTCCTCGCAGCACTCGGCTTTTTTGCGCATCTGGACACTTTTACGCACGGGTGCCAGCTCCCTTCCGAGTGGCGGCCGCTGAGCGAGGGCTGCCGGGCGGAGCTGGCGGAGATCATCGTGTACGCCCGCGTCCTGGCGATCCACCGGGAGCCCCTGGGCGGCGGGGCGGGCAGCCTGTACAACTCGCTGCCCTTCGGGTTCGGGTATGGGTACGAGGGCGCGGAGGAAGGGCTGCTTTACTGCGCGGAGGTGGAGTTGCTGTGCGATCAGGCCTGGGGCAGCATGCTGGAGGTGCCCTCTGGATCAAGGCTCAACCTGACCGGACTGGGGTACCTGTCCTGCCAGTCCCACACCGTGATGGAGAACTACTCCTACTTCTTCTTCCTCAGGTGAAGTGCCCAGCCTGAACTTATTAGTTCCAACAAACATTTGGACTCTAAACATTTGGACTCTTTTAATTCAAACTGTACTTACAACAGCCTAGAAGTTTTATTGTTTTCACTAAAATATAATTGCATCCCATAAAACTCTTTGGCAGTCCAGAAGTGCATTTAGCTAAATAGGAACTTTCATCTAACCCTCTAACAGTTCTTGTCTTTTGTCAGCTTGTTTTGGAGCAGACTGATCTACAGTCAGCTGTATAAACAAGACTATACTGTGTTTAGATATAAATGTGTGGTTTGCCACTTGAGGCTAAGTATTTCCATGAAGTGAGACTTCAAATGTTGAGCTCTTTATCTTCTACATATATGTGATAGCTGTTGTTGCTAGTTGTTTTGCAAAGGAAGATTTTACCTGCAAAGTAAGAAGATAGCTTATTAAATATGAAGCTCTTCTAACCTATGAAATGCATCGGCCTACGAAACTTGCAAAACCGTACTTGATTTGGTTGACGCAAATTCAAAACTCAGCCACTGTCAACTACAACCTTGATAATTCCCGCAGCAGCGTCAGCTCTCTCCTCACAGTTTTCCTGTCCGATCTCCTCTGCAGGATGGATGAGAACTACAACATCCTCCCCCATGGCGTCAACTTCCAGGACGCCATCTTCGCCGACACGTCCGACAACAGGCGCATGTTCTCCAGCCTCTTCCAGTTCTCCAACTGCACCCAAGGGAGTCAGCCTTTCCACACATTCAGCCCAGAGTGGGAAACACAGGAGGACAGCAGGGTAGGGCACCATGCTGTTGTACAATAGTATCTTGCAACTGCCCCCCCCCCCCCCCCTAAAACCAAGATTGAGTTGTACCCCTGACGACTGCCATGCAGCATGACTGCTGGATGAATGCTCGCTGCTTCCTTGAAAACAAAAATGACTCCTATCTCCTTGTACAACCCCATTACCTTCTGAGAATAATAAGATGAAGTCTCCTTCTTCAGTCAGGTCAGCTTTTTTGTGTGTACAGTGGACGTAAACAAACCCGACACCATCTCGTTACCATGGAGTTAACCGATTAACAGAGAACACAAAGGAGGTGGGGGAGGTATTGTTATGGTTTTGTGGGTTTTCATGTATATCTTTTTTATTTATTCATCTATTTGTGCGTGTGTGTGCGCGTGTGTGTGTGTGTGTGTGTGTGTGTGTGTGTGTGTGTGTGTGTGTG